ATAAATCACATAATTAATATATTATATATTAAATTTAACCATTCTTTTTCTCTTCTGTGATTGCCAGCCTAGCTTAGAACAAAGTAGGGTTGGTAGATTTGGTAACCTGAACTGTTCCAACATACAAACAAAGTTTCCGATGGGGAGAGGAACCAAAAGGTAAACTTCATTGTGAGCCAAAAGGTAAACTTCATTGTGAGCCAAAAGGGGACCCAAAAACACCACCCTTCTTTTTGATAACCACAAACCCAAAATGTGATCCATTCATAGGAGTACTGCAATTATTGAATCTGTTTTGGTGGGTTTCCCCCAAAATCTCTTCATAGTGAAACTGTTCCCATCCTGAGAATTGGCAACCATATCTTGGATATGGACTTGGACCTTGCGAAAAGGACAAAACTTTTGTCCCTGTCAATCCCTCTCACTTGTCCTCCTTTTTCTTACTTCTATAAGCAAAAAGAGAGTATTTCATGTAACTAGAAAGGATGAATGTTTGAGGCTTTTAGCTTCACAATAAGATTAATATTTGCAATATTTCACAAACAGAATAAGGAGCCAATTTTGTAAAAAAGAAAACTTGAGTGAGAACTTACGCCGACGACAGGAAGAGCGCACGGCGGCAGCCGTCGCCGTCGGCCAGCCTGAGGAGGGTGGAGCCTAATGTATAATGCGTTTAAACTCATGTTTACAACAACATGGGCCTATCAGGAATATGGGCTAAAAAATGGGCCGAAAAGATAATCCATCCCATAATGACGCCCACGTGAAACAGTACCCGCCTAGATATATTGTCCGTAGCCCAACCTCAACGGCGACGGAAAGTTTAGTGGTTACAACATTTTACATGTGCAATAGAAGTCACTGTCAAGCAAAACCATCAGTAATCGACTCTCATCCTGAACCATTTCAAAGCCATCTCCTCCGATCTGGAACCGACGATTCCTCCATGGACGACGTTTGCTCCGGATTTCGAGTTTTGTAGACGATAGATTCAGCCGTGTAGAATCACCGGAATCCATCTTTCGTATTCGGAAACCGGATATTCCTTAATGGAGGACGCCTACGCCAGATCCGTTACAGAGGTAATTCACATATCTCGCTGCATTTCTGATCACGAACTTTAGAAGTACTGAATTGAACTAACTATTGGACTCGCATTCGGGAACTTGATCTCTGCTTCTGATTCTTGGTCAGGTCTTGGATTTCTTCGGGGTAGATCCAGCGAAAGGTCTCACTGATTCTCAGGTTTGCATTTGCTTATTTCCTCATCAGAATTTGTCCCCTAATTGTGTGCTAACTTAAAGGTTTAATTTGTTTTCTTATTTACAGGTTATACAGCATTCAAGGCTTTACGGGAAAAATGGTACATTAGCATCGACCAATTGTTTTTTATCTCAGTTTTGAGTTTGTCACAACATTATTGCTTGGTTTTCTTACAGTGCTTTTTTTCCTTTTGGTTGTTAAATTTAAAGAAACACATATTAGAGGAGCAGACGTTGATGCATCTTTCATCTTCCTGTTAACAAATTAATTCTGTTGCAGTTGGTTAATGTGCAAGAATTTTTAAATACATTCTTTTGTTTCTCTTCTAATGTCTTTTATTTTTGCCTTTGCATGCTTGTTTTCTGGTCTCCAGTGCTCCCTGAAGAAAAAAGTAAGTATCTGGCATATTGTCTCTCTTTTTATTTTATTTTATTTTTAAAATGCTTTTACAGTTATGTATTTATGCACATGTTATATTCTTCCTTTGATTTTTTGTCCTGCTTGCTCACTTCAAGAGAATGTGCTTGATCTCTAATATCATAATGTTGCTCCACACTAAAATCCTGAATTTGTGGAGTTAAATTTATGAGTGATTTTTGGCATGTTGTCATACTGATAGATCCTTGGGCCATGTTAACAGTCTTGGATTCTTGAATAAAATTTCACAAATGATTTTTTTTAACGTGACTTATTTATCTGTGTCAACCAATATGTGATGGAATGTTGAGATTTGAGAGCCCATGATATTGGTGTTTGGGAAGTAAAGATGTGACTGGGCTCAGACTTCTGGTATTTCAATAGATTGAGTCTGTTGCAAAAAAGCCATATTTTGTTTGGTCTTGAATCAGTTAATTTTGCAGGTGGTCACTGCCCATTGTATTGGTGTTAATTGTGTTTTGTATGATTCTATCTTGTTTTATTGGTGCATAAACTATTTGTTCACTGATGGTGTTATTATGTAAAAAACCTTATGTACTTCATTCAATCATTGCATGCAGGGACCCCCTTCTGGAAACTGGTTTTGAAACAATTTGATGATTTGCTTGTGAAGATATTGATTGCTGCTGCCTTTGTTTCTTTTATTTTGGCACTGATCAATGGTGAAACTGGCTTAATAGCATTCTTGGAGCCTTCCGTAAGGCGATTCTTCTTCTTCTTCTTCTTCCTTTTCATCATTAGCCAAAAGATGCATAATTAACATTTTGGTCTGAAGTTGCCATGCTTCAACTACATCCTACAGTTTAATGTCTGCATTTTTGTTTTTTAATTCATCTGCAGGTCATCCTGTTGATATTGGCTGCCAATGCTGCAGTAGGAGTAATTACAGAGACAAATGCTGAGAAAGCTCTTGAGGTAAGTTTTGGAGTCTCAACTTGAGGCACATAAAGAAAAAAAATAAAAAATATTGTTTAGTGAACATGATTTGTTAAACATGCAGAAGGGAAGAAGTAGACTAATGCATTAACTGTGAAACATTAATAATTTTGAGATTAGAAGCATGAAAAATTATTATGCATGATCTATCCACACTATCCGCTTCTATAAGCTCTGCGGGTAATAGGGTAGCACCATTCTCTAGGCAATATAGCCTTTCTCTCTTTGGTAATATTTCAACTTGACAACGTAGCAATCATAGTCTTGGGTATAACATGTCTCATGGGCCAACAAGATAATAGGTGTATAGGCCTTTCCTCCTCTGCTATGGGATAATGTTTGAGGATGATCTAATGTTTTCCTTTATATTTGACAATTTATTATCCACTCGAGATTCATTTACATTTTTGAATTTTTTAGGAGCTACGAGCATATCAAGCTGATGTTGCGACTGTGCTTCGAAATGGTAATGCAAGCAACAATATAATCACCTAGACGCTGCTTGTTGGTTTATTTATAATCATATCATAACCTAATGATTAAATATATTAGTCATGTTCTTGAATGATCCTTTTCCCCTTTAGGAGATTATTATTCTAGTGTGGATAAATAGCTTGCCTTTAATTCTATTTCTACTTGTATATGACGATCTGGTTTTAAACTATTTTTTCAAAGCTATCTGCTCTGACTTGCCAAATTATGAATCATAAGAACATGGTTCAATTATCTACCTTTTTGTTAAATTGTAAAATGCAAAACAATAGTCTGCCTTATTTTTATTTTCCATTGTATTATGGTGACAATGTTTGAACAACTTCTTGATGCCAATTGCCTTTCTTGGTCTTGATGCAAGGACTCCTTGGAGTAAATACTTCCCCATCAATCATAGTTTGAAGTAAAATTGTTGAACTATAATGTAGTTTGGCCACCTGTCATCTTAGTTTCTCTGTCTCTTCTTGTTTTAATGGCTATGCGTTGAACATGAAATTTATTATTAGTTTGGACAGACCAGGGATTCTTTGGCTCTTCTATGCAATTATCATATTATTATTTTTTTCCTAAAAATTTTCTTGAATATTTGTAGTATGTGTTGATACTTCAATTCAAATGGTAATATGGCAGTCATTTTACTCTTATCGCTTCTTTTTACTCCTAATAATAGCTAAGACATTTTGCAGGTTGCTTCTCTATACTTCCAGCAACAGATCTGGTCCCAGGAGATATAGTTGAAGTTGCCGGTCCGCTCATAAATTGGCTGTTAATTGCAAATTTGGTTTTTTTTATTATATGTTTTGGCAATCTAGAGAGCTTCCATTTTTAAATCTTACACTCTGTAAATTGGCAGTGGGATGCAAGATTCCGGCTGATATGAGAATGATTGAGATGCTAAGTGATCAGTTACGTGTTGATCAAGCAATTCTTACAGGTACATGAATCTAACGTGGTAGCATAGTTCCATGTTAATCTGTGTAAGAAAAAGGAAAGTTTGTTAAGTAAAGGTTAATCTAGCAAATGTGTTTGAATGCTTTTGGAAATAATATTGCCAGTCTGGATAGCATGTTTCTCAAAAGCTGTCTTGTTTGGACATTTTCTTCATCTTTTTTGTAGCCTTTCACTATATTGGATTGTTTTATTGTTCTTTTACTACTACTTTGATGAGTTTACTATGTGTGAGAAATATAGAGAACCATTGTTAGCATATGGCTTGAGCTATTTGAGCTGGCATTTCAATATCTATGGAAATTTCAGATTCTCAATTTAATAAATTTTTAAACCTTTTCTTTAACCTGAGCTTACCTGCATGTTAGTAGAACTTTGAGTGAATCTCTATTTTGGCAGTCCTTAGGTGGTTTTAGAATTGATGGCATGAAGAGAGCAATTACCTTTTAATTATTTTCTTCCTTTTGTTTCCGCTTGGTTGGCAAAATTGGAAACTGTGATCCATTAAACCTTAATCATGCGCTTTACTTTTTCTCTAAGGCCAAGGGGCTCATGGTAATTGCATTCTTTTTTGGCACATTTGTTTGTTACACACTCTAGCATGCTTTACTGCCATTTGTTATCTATCAATTTCAACCATATTTTGCTTATAAATATTGTTAGTCATGGTCCCTATTGATTGATTGCATAATATTCTACAATATACCCGATCCAATTCAGCTGAAGATTTTGTTTGATGATAGGTGAGAGTTGCTCTGTTGACAAAGAGATTAAGTCCACTACGGCAACAAATGCGGTGTACCAAGACAAGACAAATATTCTTTTCTCGGTAAACTCTTAAATCACTTTTGCATTATCTAGTTTGGCATAGAATACTCATGCATATGGAAATTTGAAATTCTTGATTTTATTGCATTATTTCAGGTATCTGCTAAAATTACTTATAATTGAAAATTAAGTTTGAATAACATAAGAAGCCCATTATCTGTCTTGTTACTGATAAATTTTAAAAGCTCTTGCCTTAGATAGTTGTTAGCATCAATTATATTCTGACATTTTTTGACTGCCAGGGTACTGTTGTTGTTGCTGGTAGAGCAAGAGCTATTGTTGTTGGAGTTGGTACTAACACTGCCATGGGTAGCATACGTGATTCTATGTTGAGAACAGATGATGTAAGTTGTTGGATATCAAGAATTCCTCTTTCTTCCTATCTTTTACATTGATATCAATTTCTTTTGGAATCCTGCTTCCCAATTTTCAAATTAATTCATGATATAGTTAAACTGAGGCAATTATATGTTAAGTTTCCTGAATAAACCATCCAGATTAGATAATAGCTGCCATGGACAATTTATGTTTGTTCTACTCTACTCATCCTTATCTATAATTGGCTGTAGGAAGCGACTCCCTTGAAAAAGAAACTGGATGAGTTTGGTACCTTTTTGGCTAAGGTAAGTGCCAGATCATCTGCTGTAAATTTTTAGTTGTATGTTTTCTATTAATGCCAAGATTATGATCATTATTTACTGTACCTTTTTTTAAACTGCATCTATACAAATCAAATGGACAGGGAAAGGTGGTCATGAATGTTTCTAGATTGTGTTAATTTAGTCTGTTTTTTTATATTTGTTTAGTGGATTCTAGGAGTAGACTTGAATATCTACATGGTGATACAACAAGCTTATGCTATTGTTCTGGATAAATTGAGCTCACACAATGAATTTGATGATAAGTTGAAATCTGTTGGGGCTTGAATGTTAGAGCCTTTAACTGCTCCTTCTCTGTGTGCTTCATAATAGTCCATCTCTGCTTCATCCATCTACTGTGTTTTTGATAGATGACAAAGTTTATCCATTTGAGAATAACAAAATGTGTTCATGTTGCAGCTGTACATGATTAGATTTTCATGTTAACAGTTAACACCATTATTATACTTGTCACAGGTTCATATCCTGTGTTAACTTCTTCTGTTGATATTGTGATGATGTATTTTAGCAAATTTTCTTCTGCCTATAGGTTATTGCAGGAATTTGTGTACTGGTGTGGATTGTAAATATCGGTCATTTTCGTGACCCTTCTCATGGTGGCTTCTTGCGTGGTGCAATTCATTACTTTAAGGTATGATCTGTTGATTTGCTCCTTATTTGCTTTCAATTTGTGGCAGTTTGAGGTTTATGAACTACGTTCTTGTGCTTCAATAGATTGCAGTTGCTCTTGCAGTTGCAGCAATTCCAGAAGGGCTTCCTGCTGTTGTTACTACGTGAGTATTTCAAAATTTATTGGGTTTATGGATCATCAGTAAGTTATTTGGATTGTCAAGCTCTGTGACAACTGACAAATAACTGTATGGTTAATGTTAGAGATGGAGATGTGGTGCCTGAGATAGCTTTCCCATTCAACAAATGGAAGTGAAATGGGAATTAGAGATTAAAATATGCCCAGCAAGTTGAATTAGTATGTTAAAAATGACAAAAAAAAAAAAGAATAAAAAATGATTTTGTGATCATTTCTGACTCAAATACCAGAAGTCATTGAAGAAATTAAAATCTACTTTATTTTTGGCTTGTAGACTTGTCTCAATAATGCTACCATATCACAGAATTAAGATGCATGTCTTAGAAGCTACACTATGTGTTAAGTGTTAATCATAAACTTGCATCAATGAAATGAAATAAAATGCAATTTCTAATGATTTGCTTTTTTGACATGTTAGTTTTTTCACTTTTGCTAGTTCTAGATTTTACTCATATGCAGGATACATGTTATATTAGTTTCCTTAATCTTCATCAAAAAGAGATAGGGACAACTAAACTGGGATAGAGGGATTTTATCTTTTTAAAAGAATGTGTTATCAAATACAAAGTTGACTCACTTTTAACCCATGTTATTTTTCATTTGTTCTAGGTGTTTGGCCCTTGGAACAAAGCGAATGGCTAGGTTGAATGCTATAGTTCGATCATTGCCATCTGTAGAGACTTTAGGTTGCACCACAGTGATTTGCAGTGACAAGACTGGAACTCTTACAACAAATATGATGTCTGTTTCAAAGGTTATAGTCTTAAAAGTTTGAGATACTGGGCATTGATATCTGTCTCATTTATATGCCTCTAAAATCTGTTTTCTTTTTCTGAATATGGTGTTGAAAACTGAGGATTTTTGCAATTGCTAGTAATTTGGTAAAAACTTATGCTAGGTTTAATTTTTTAGGAAGAAGGTAAAGGATCTCAGGTTGCTTAAAGATCTGAGACTGATTACTTTTAATTTCAATTAGATTAGATAATAGATTCAATTGTTATACGTTTGTAATATACATGTTTATTATTGACTTTTGAAGTGATAGATCTTGCCTTTTCTCGTCTTTCCTTCTCTCAGATATGTGTGGTTAATTCTACACAACGCGGTCCTCTGATTGCTGAGTATGGTCTAAGTGGGACGACATATGCACCAGATGGCATTATTTTTGACAGTAGTGGGATACAGGTAATTGCTTGTTGATATGACTTGTGATTTACATTGCACTTGTAAAGAGCCCATCTAAGAGGAAGAGTGCTTTAATTAAAAGTATTGGTGAGAATGACTGCTTCCATGTACTTTATAATTACTGCAACTTCATCCTGAAAGAAAGATGTATTTACAAGGAAAAAAAAATAATGATAATAATAATCCCGGAGACACAGGTAAACAATTGCAGAAGAATGTAGTCAGTGTTTCCTATTTAATTGAAATACATTAGTTCAAGTTTTAAGTGAATTCCACAGACTATTATTGGCCTTGATTAAAATCCTTCTCTGCAGTGATTCCTACATTGTGATAAAGAGTGCAAACCATTATTTATGATGTTGTGATGGTTTTGGTTTATATTCTCTTAAGGCCTTACTAGAAAATATTTCAGATTAAACAATCAGAATAGAACCACATCCTAGCATACGAGAAAGTTTAGGTCATGAGCTCTCAGTTGTCCTGATAATTTGGACCACCTGAATTGTTAGTGTGTAGAGATTAATGATAGATGACTTTCCAAATGGTTGTGTTGTGTTTCTGAAACGACTTGGGACACTCCACTCTGCACTTTGTGTACATGACATTCAGCTGTTTTGCAGCTTGAGTTTCCTGCTCGGTTGCCTTGTCTTCTTCACATAGCAATGTGTTCAGCTTTATGCAATGAGTCTGTCTTACAGTATAACCCAGATAAGGGGACCTACGAAAAAATTGGGGAGTCAACTGAAGTGGCTCTCCGTGTGTTAGCAGAAAAGGTTTGTATCTTGGCCCATTGACAAGCCATGCTTGTGTCTTTTTACTTGTGGACTGCAGAGGCTTTCTTTTCCTAAAGACCAAGTTATCTCACTACAGGTTGGTCTTCCTGGCTTTGATTCTATGCCATCTGCTTTGAACATGTTGAGCAAGCTTGAGAGAGCTTCTTACTGTAATCACTACTGGGAAAGTCAATTTAAAAAGGTACATATCCACACATGATTATTAAATTTTGTAAACTCTTTTATATGAAAGTAGTTAAGAGTGAGGCTGAGTTGTATGCATTTTGAGTTTTTGACAATATGAACTTGGATATCTCTATTCTTGAATATGATAGATCTTTCAGTATAGACACTTTTAAGGGCAGGCAATATGGGGTGTTTGATTTTTTTTTTTTTTTTCCTCTTTTATTATGAAACTAGCCCTGTAGTATTCTTCTCAGTCTATTTTGATGATTGCTTATAATTTTTTTATAACATAGTTTCTCATTTCTGTTCTACATTGGATTTATTATGTTATGGGTCTTTGTTCTGTCCTACAAAGTAATCCCTTGTCTGAGTTTCTTTATTTAACAAGCTTGATTGTTTGACGCTTTGTAGGTTTCTGTTTTGGAATTTTCTCGTGATCGTAAGATGATGAGTGTCCTTTGTAGCCATAGGCAGATGGAGATAATGTTTTCAAAAGGTGCTCCAGAGAGTATCATCTCCAGGTGCACAAATATCCTCTGCAATGATGATGGTTCCACTATTCCTTTGACAGCTAGTGTCAGAGCAGAAGTAGAGTCAAGGTTCCACAGGTTAGATTTATCTTGTTTTAATCAACACACCAACTTGCTCTTTTTCTGTATACTCATTTTATGATATGTGGGATGGATGCTGGGTACAGCAGAGCCCTACCAATAAGGTGTTGGGAGAGGACGTTTGGGCTTTTCCAAAAGGTTTAAGGCTACAACTGACAAAACTCATTGGGTAGAGGCTCATAATTTATAATGGAATATGGATCTCTGCATGGGATCCATATTTGGGGTCCCTAGTCTAAATGCTAACACAGTCCTTACTTTCTAGGGAAGGTGAATTGTTGATGTGCCATACATTAGGTAGATTGTAAACATGTGGGCTCACATAGGTCCCCTCACTTTGTTGCAGATTAGCAATTTTTTTTTGGCAGAAAACTGCAAGTTCTCCTTATGAGCCCTTATTTCAACCTCACTTGTGAAACTTCAATTTATTTTCTTTTTGTTAATTTGTGAGGGTAGGGATGATGGTATTTTGTTTGAGAATGGAAGCTGACCGAAAACTGCACAAAAGAGAATTTGATGTTACACTTAGTGATGGGCACCAATATACTAGTTTTAGAAGTTTTAGCTACTGCTTAAGCTAATTAGAAGAGAAGTCAGGGTGAAGTGTTTGTGCTATGCAATGATGATGACCCTTGGTGGTGCAGGAGAAATTTTAGACCTGTCTAGAAAATTTGGCGAGCATAAGGTTAAGGAACCTAGGGCTTTAGAATGTTTTTGCTTTTGGTTTTAAGGACTTGAACAAGAAAAAAGACGCTAGTTTAGGGCTGTTTGGACTGCTGTGGTAGCAGAAATTTTGCAGCAAGAAAGAGGAGGAGAAAGATGAAAGAGAAGGATAAAGAGTGCACAATCAATCTATGGAAATATCCAAGTTTCAGTAAACCATAAACCATATTACTCAATATCCTCTATCATAAAGAGTACAGAGCCACAGGTAGTGACTCATATACTATTCCTTAACCTACTATGATTAGGCTTCAAAGAAAATAAAACCCTAATCTAGATACTCTTAGAATAACCTAAAACTAAACCAATTAATAGCCCTAGGGTGCAGGAAATCTAGAAATTGCCACTAGGCCCCTGAACATTAAAATGCACATAACTCATAAAAGAAAACCCTGAATTGCTGATTTGGAATTATAAATCAAAGAATAAAGAATTGGCTTCTTAAATAGCTGCATCACTCAGAGCTCCTTAATTGTTTTGTTGGCCTACTTTTTTTTATTAATGGATTATCTTTTGGTTTTTGAATGATCATTTTAACCATTATGAAATCTTTTAAATCTGTTAAAGTAGTGTCACATTTCATCCTGCCAATTTATATGTTTCGCTATTTTGCTCTGGTTCACAATCTTTCATTTATTGGTCAGTTTTGCAGGGAAAGAAACATTGAGATGCCTGGCTCTAGCCTTAAAGATAATGCCCTTGGGTCAACATACCATATCCTTGGAGGATGAGAAAGACCTTACATTTATTGGGTTGGTATGCTTTCTTGTCAGTAGAGGACCTTAAATTTACTTCCGATCCCATACAATCTCTGAGCCAACATTTTTTTTGGAGCTTATGTAAATAGTTTTGTTTTATTATTCGTTCTTTTATAGGTTGGAATGCTTGATCCACCAAGAGAGGAGGTCAGAAATGCTATGTTTGCTTGCATGACTGCTGGTATACGTGTTATAGTTGTTACTGGTGATAACAAGGTAACTTGTATTAGTCCAGGTGCTGCTTATCTTTTCTTCTTTTCACCTATTATTCTAATATGAGACAAAAACTTCAGTCTACAGCTGAATCACTTTGCCGTAAGATTGGTGCTTTTGATCACTTGGTAGATTTTGTTGGTCATTCATATACCGCTTCTGAATTTGAAGAACTTCCAGCTTTGCAACAAACACTGGCATTGCAACGTATGGCACTATTCACTAGGTATGATGGATACAATTTTTGCAGTTCTATCTCACATTTTTATACATTTATCTGATTGAAAAGATCCTTTCATCGTTTCATTCCTTTTTTACCATTTTTTTTAAAATATAAACTGATGCTATTGTTATACATGTTCTCCTTTAACCTCATAGGGTTGAGCCTTCTCATAAAAGAATGCTGGTCGAGGCCTTACAAAACCAGAATGAAGTGGTACTTTTCTTAAACTTTTACCTTTTTGATGATATATTTGGAATTTCATATACTTTTCTTCTTTGGTCCTAGTTTGTCATTAGCTACAATGATCATGATACAGGTTGGTCAAGTTTGAGATTTAATCAGAAAACAAAAGAAAAACTTCCATTTGCAACACAAATAAAAACCTAAATCCAAACTGAATGAAACAAATTAGAACTTTATTCAGTTCGGGCTGTATTTTTTTTAATTAGATTTTCATAATGTTTGATTACTAAATACTATCAATATATATCTAATAATCTATGGATTTATTCTGATAATATTACATGGATTATTTTGGCTATTTAAGTTGGGAGTTAACAAATGGAATACCTAGCTTAGAGAGGGAAGACGGCTGCAGAATGCTCTTTTCATTTTTCTCCATCACCTATCACTTACAAATAGTCTTCCAAGAAGTTTGTTTTCTCAATAAGGTTTACATAATTAAAGGCCTCTAGTATTGTGTTTGATGAAGTGTTTTAAGTTAGATAGACACAATCAGAAAAATAAATAAATAAATTGTAGGATGTAGTGCAAAAGAAGATGATAATGGATCTCTCAAACTGTTTTGCTTTATCCTTATATATAAGAATCTCTTCTAAGAATGTGACTCTTGAGTCTTGACTGGTTAACTAGGACTTTGGCTGCTTAAAAGACCATCTTTTCTAAATTGGATTATATTTCTTGTGGACTCGTCAACCTGATTTTTTATAGATACATTTCTTATTATAAATGTGGCATGATTTGATTTGGTTTTCATTCATTTTGATAAATTACCTGCACTTTGCTGTTATTTCTGTGATAATATAGTAGTAATAAATTAATAATGCTTATTTGTTAGGTTGCCATGACTGGTGATGGTGTCAATGATGCACCTGCATTAAAGAAAGCAGACATAGGCATTGCAATGGGATCTGGGACAGCAGTTGCAAAGGTGAATGCTTCTCTCCTTATCTTGCAGCAGAAAGCAGTCAACCTTAATTTTCACCATTCCATGAATTATAAGCTGTTTAAGTTCACCAAGCATTATTTTATTTTCTATGAATGTATAGACTATTTTTAACTGCTAGACCATTTACCAACTTGAATATTTGATGCATGTCTATCCTTGTAAAGTATCTCCTGTTTTCTATTGTGTGAGGATATTTTGAAATACTCAATTATGGAAAATTGCAGTTATCAATCACCAAAAACGGCCTAATGAAACTCAAGAAATTAGTTTTGGTTCCCTAGTTCAACTTGCTTCTTAGATTCATTTGCAGTGTACCTTGCCTAGAGGCTGTCCTTGAATAGTATTTTTTCTGTTTTTTCTTTGCTCTTGTATTACCTTATCGTTTATAAAATCTATGTCAACTCAAATGTCATTGTTGAACAGTCTTCAATTGATTATTGTTGCATTCTATTGAGTTTGTCCCTGTTCATTATGTATCCTTTGCTTTTCAGAGTGCTTCAGATATGGTTTTAGCAGATGACAATTTTGCTACTATTGTCGCAGTATGTATTATGTTCTTACTTTGTAGCTTTTTCTTAATTTATTTTATTCTTAATTTGTCTTTGAATCATTAACTCTTGGTGTCTCTATCTCAATTTTGGGCAGGCTGTTGCAGAAGGAAGGGCTATATACAACAATACAAAGCAATTCATCAGATACATGATCTCTTCAAATATTGGTGAAGTAGTTTGTATTTTTGTGGCAGCTGTACTAGGAATACCTGATACCCTGGCTCCTGTGAGTATATTTTGCCTGAAGAACTTTTTGTTTCATTTATCTGTAGACCTCTTTGTGTAGAGAAGGGGAGGCAGGGGAAGGAGGACTACTTTTGTTTCATTACTCCCCTTTTTTTTTTTTTGATATCTTCATTGATTGAAATAAATTAGTAAATATAGTACAAGAAAGGAGTAGTTTTCATGATAAGATGCAGAAAACTTGTGTCAATTCGAAGAAATTTTAAGCTTTGCATGGTACCTTCTTTACCATCTGCTTAGTCCACATTCTGGAATTTTTAATATTTGCTTTACTCTTTTTTTTTTTCTTTTTTTTTTTTTTTTTTTTAATTTCAATCTTTGTTAACTACATCCAGGTCCAGCTGCTATGGGTCAACTTGGTCACTGATGGATTGCCTGCCACTGCCATTGGGTTTAACAAGCAAGATTCTGATGTAATGAGGGCCAAACCTCGTAAGGTATTACTTGGCATGATGCATGAAAATGGTTCAAGAGCTGTAATTTCTTTGCTTTGCACACTCTTTTCCCTAGAAGTTGGATTCCTGTTTAATTTTAGATGAAAGGAATATATTTATTTTAGTTTTTGGATTTGTATGCTACATTGGTCAAAAGACTTGTGGATCAAACACTTATCAATTGTATTATTTCTGCAGGTTGGGGAGGCTGTGGTCACTGGATGGTTATTCTTTCGCTATTTAGTAATTGGAGGTACCTATAAATGTTACATCATAGTGTTGTAATAGTAGCTACTTAATCATCTGCCATTCTTAGATTATTTATTGGGGATCTTCTATTTGTTAAAGCTTGTGCCTTCTCTACAGTAGTGGGTTTCTGGTTTAATAAACAGTGAGCACTGCTGAACCATATAATAACAAAACAACAATCTCTTTATTTTTTTGGAGAAATTACTCTTAGTATGTGAACTGTGTCGTTATGAATTTATATTTACCAAATTTAGCACAGGAAAAAATCATTAACCTAATCAAGATAGAACATAAAACCATTTTCTATTTTCCAAGTTATTATTTGAATACCTTCTTTGAGTGGTAAGAATATAGATACACAAAATTCCTTGCTTATCAGTTTTATTCATGTTAGTAGTTAGGTTTAATCTGGAGTATGTAATCTTTCTTGATAGTTTGCCATTTCCAATTTGGTGAGACTTGTCTTTTGATTGATGCAGCTTATGTCGGACTCGCCACTGTTGCAGGGTTCATATGGTGGTTTGTGTATTCTGAAAGTGGTCCCAAACTACCATATGTTGAATTGGTAAGTTTTATGTTCTGACCATTAGTATGCTGCAAGATTACTACTTTTGTTTTGGATGGTAACCTCTTGCTGTATATTTATTATGGTTAAGTATGATTCATATTTTTGTTATTTATGTATTTTATTAGTATGCCAATTACATTAAAGAGATAGCACTAAAATGGGGGGAAAATTATTCAAGACGCTGATAAACTATTTTCTTTTTCTTTTTCACCCCCCAATTTTGTGATCCTGGTTCTTTTTTGTGGGATTTTTGCAACAGCTAAACTTACATGCATTCTTAGACATTCCTCTTTCCCTTTTCAAATGCGTTTTAAGTTTCAGAGTTCTGGTCAACCCCAAAGATTTAGTTTCATAAATCTCAAGCCTTTTGAAAAAAACTGTGCTTCCAGCTTTTAAATATTGCTGTTGACAAATAACAATTAAATATGTGCTTTAGAGCTTACATCTCTTTGCAAAACATTATTAACATCATTCTTGTCAGATGAATTTTGATACTTGCCCAACGAGGGAGACAGCCTACCCATGCAGTATATTTGATGATCGGCGTCCATCAACTGTGGCCATGACTGTTCTTGTAGTTGTTGAAATGTTTAATGCTGTCAACAACCTCAGTGAAAATCAGTCTCTCTTGTAAGTATGGAGTTTCTTCGGTTAGTATTTGAGTAAAGATCAAAAGCTGTGGTACTCTCCCAATATGAGATTTTTAAAATAATGTGTGAGCACAAATAATAAGAGAATTATTCTGCTCTTTTTCGTTTTATGTTTTATTTAGGAAGATGATTTCCTAATATCAACCATAAGGCCAATTCAAGGAAATAAATTATCAGCACTCTGATTTGTTTTTAACCTTGCTTAATTCAGGGTTATTCCTCCCTGGAGTAATTTGTGGCTGGTTGCCTCTATTATCCTGACAATGTTTCTTCACATTCTAATATTGTATGTCAGTCCACTGTCCATTCTTTTCTCAGTAAGTCATTAACTCTTATCTGCTATCCACTTCAATATTTGTAAGATCTTATTGCTTTTGCTTTCCTCCTGCTGAGGAAAATAACTTACTGGTTTGGAATATTTTGTTTCGCAGGTAACACCATTGTCTTGGACTGAGTGGACTGTTGTACTGTATCTTTCATTCCCTGTAAGTGCTGTTTTGATTTTTGTATGTGGAAGTAATTGGGTTGGATGATCACCCAATAAAATACTTATTTATCTTTTAATAACATATCTTAACTTTTACTGTTCTCAACATGCAGGTCATAATTATTGATGAAGTGCTGAAGTTTTTCTCAAGAAACTCTCGTGGTAATGCTAATCTGGCTCGTGTCATTTTCTTTCTTGACTTGGACATATAATATTTCCACACCTGGCATCTGTAGAAAAACCATCCTTTGCAACACAACACTTCAACTCCTTTTGCAGCATTTTATCTATACATTTACAAATGCTTTCTCACACTTACATTGAAATAACATGTTAAGATATTCTTATCTCAGTTATCAATATACTTTGTTGTTGGTTTTATTTTTTTGTAGGCATGAGGTTCAATTTCAGATTCAGGAGACCTGATACACTGCCGAAAAAGGAATTACATGACTAGTGATGAAAATTTTATTTTCCACAACCCAAATTTCATACATACTATTTAAGTTGACACGAAGCATAGAGGAACATGGTTTCTCCTGTACGTGTGTACTTTGCACAACAAAGATACAAATCAGGGGCAACTTCACTGGGTTGTAAGTATAGTTCGATCTTGCAGTTAATTTCCAGAATTAACATCAGATAGTGAGGAAATGGGTTGACGGTAACCTGTTTATGACATGTTTTTATGGGGAGGGGGTGGGGGCGGGGACTGTTATTTTTCTTTACACGCTGAATGCGGTTCTGTCATTGTGTATTGTTTTTTATTTATATAAAGAAAATAATTTCTACTAGATAAAGAGTTCAGTGGAGTTCACTGTTACACGGAACACACAACGTTAATGCATCTCTTGGCCAATGGATCAAAGCACAAAGGGTTTCGATGCATTGTTTTTGTGATTCTGAGGGCAAAGGACAAAGTACATTTTATGATACAGTTTTGTCTTCTCCCCCCTCGACACTTCAAAGTGTTATGCAAATTTTCAAATCCTGCATTAAACGTAACATAACAGGTAATTTCGAAGAATGTTACAAAGGTTCTTCAGATATCCACCTTTCAAACATGGCTTGACACTCGGCTGGTCTATACTCCGGAGCTGTGTGCCCTCCACCCTGCATATAACCCATAAAAAAATAGGAATAAAAAAAAGGGGAAATTTTCTTCCCAGAGGAGGAAAAAGAAAAAAATAGAAATCCCCTTGCCTTAATGGTGGCAAATGTCATCCTATTGGAGTACGTCCTTGCGTATCTGCATAATGCAATAACAATTTATCAAAGTAATTAGCAGTTATAGTATACTAGTTGATAGTCTATCGTTAATGTTGATAGCAGATACCAGCTGCCAGTTATCAGCTATGATACAACTGTCAATCATGCAGGGTCTGGAGAAAAGAGAATGAATTTAGTAGACTTACCCAGCAACTTGGCCTTGGAGCATCCATGGCCGCCAATCATCAACAATGGGATAGTTTAGAGATCTTATCCAAGCTTGAGTTCCCAAGAATGGTATAAGCATGTCCTGGTCGCCACTGTCCCCACGGAAAACCATAAACAAATACTAACAGATGGGCTAGTTTTTAAAAGGAACATGGGCACAGAATAGAATTGAGATTAATTACGTACCTGTAAATTAAAGCACGGTAGCCTCTGGTACTGAGGTTTACATGATACTGGAAACTGCTTGGGATGTTAGATGTGTAAGATATTTCATAGTTGCACCGTTGCCATTCTCTTATACTTCCCTGCACAATATATATAACGATTATGTTTGTCCATGAATAAAAGAAAGGAAAGCAGAAAAGTTTGAAAAAAAAAAATGGAAAATAGGCTTGTTTATAAATAACTATAAATTATATATCAAAAGTTTTTTATAATTTTTATAAATGAACTTTTTTGAAATTTCAAATGAAATTAATCTATAATACACCCTTAATGATTTTGTATGCACATCTCATGGATCATTAAGAATATCCATACAGAAGCAAAAATTTTTATGCATATTTTCAAATAAGGAAGAAGTGTTTTATAATACATATTATGTACACAATAAAATATTAATTTTATAATTAATGAGGTCTTTGTGGAGATAACAAAGTTATAATTAATAAGACTTTTGTATGATTAGTGATAGACCTATCAATTACAAGCATTAGGTCTTCGCAATACTACAGAAACATCAAACTCTTCTTCTTTAAAAAAAAGAAGAAATAGACAATGAAACAAAACATCAATACCTTTCTTACGTGGAGGGCCCTGCGAACCTTATCATCGTTGGTCCAATAACGAGAGAGCAGATATCCATATGTCTACAAATTTGAAAAATAATAAAGTTAATTTTTTAAGAGAAACATAGAAAAAATTCAGCAAAAACAGCTTACGCGTCGGTGTCTACTGACTAAACCTTGATTAATTGTGATTAAAAGTCATGGGTTCATATGTCCATGGTATAATTGCTAAGGAACTAAATGTCAACGGAAAAATAACATTGAGTCCCTCTCATATATATTTAAGATTTTTTCCTTTTTTCATGAACCATCATATTTACGGTGAAAAAAAAAATTTACAATTTAAATTATTTTAAACTATAAATTATTAATTCTTAAATAAGAGAGAATTATATTTAAGGATCTTGTTTTATAATTAAAATTTATAAGTAACAACTCTTATATTTAGCTTCGGAAGAATAAGGAATTACGCGACAGCCAAATTGAGGAATAGACGGTTCTGGATCGAGTAGCTTATGGAGGGTTAGGGACCGTCTTCTTCTCCCTAACATCTCTGGTTGCTTTGGGGAAGCAAAAGCGCAAATGGGTTCCAGAATATGCGCAGATTGAATTCCTGAAATACACTGTGGATGTGGAATGCACTCAGAAATCATGGAGCAAAAGAAGCAATTATATTACGCATACAAGAAAATGAGATTCATTTGCATATACCTTGAAGTAATACTGAACATTTCTCCAGCACTCGAGGTTGCTTGGATCTATATTTCCTCCTCCACAGCTCTTCATTAATGACTGAGCACAAAGAAAAAAAAAAAAGCATATATTGTATATTTTTTCTTCGTTTTTGGAGAAATCTAAAGGGTTTTGAAAATGGTTGTAAACGAAAAGATCCGAGCGGAATTATTTCTAGCTTGACTTGGAGCTCAATAATAAAGAACTAATAAACAAACTCGTTATGCAGCCTAGATAATAGACTAATAATGCTTATTTATGTCCCCTAGGGAGAATTCCAGTGACTTGAGCCTTTCTTGAGGTAATGCCAGTTCGCGTCCAGACTCTGTTCAACCTCATCCTCAAATTAATATTAGATTGAATAATTATTTTGGTATTAATATATGTAATCAAGCTAACTTCGTGGGTTTTTAAGTCACTCTTTCTACCCTTGAGTAGGGATGTCAATGGGGTCTCGTGGGGTCGGAGAGTCCCTCTCCATCTCCTTCCCCGCGAATGGCAGGGATGGGGATCCCCACGAGGGTTTTTGACAGGAGATCAATTTTACCTCCCGTCCCCATTTCTTACCAATTAATATTAAATTATAAATTTTTTTATCTTTTACATATAATTAATTAATATTCAATTATAACGAATAAAATTTTAAAAATTCAAATACAATTAACTAAAATTTTTAAATATAAAATCAAATATAAATTGTTCAAATATAAATAAAAATCAATTCAACATAAATAACTAAACCAATAATTAACAAATTTGTTTCAAACATATATAAAGATTAATTCAAGTTAAACTAGAACATAAGCAAAAATTAAACCAACAATGGAGGGGCAGGTGAAAATGAAAATTGAGAATGAATTAGGGTTTTGGTTAAATGTAAGTAGGAGAATGGATTGGGTTAAGTTGGGTTGGGTAAAATTGGGTTAAGTTTAATTTTGATTGAATTGAGTTTAAACTTGAGTTTGGGTTTGGGTTTAAATTTGAAAGATAAATTAAATTTAAAATAAAATTAATTTATATTTGTTTTAATTTTTGCAGGAACGAGAATCCACACGGGACCTCACGGGGCGGGGAAAATTCCCCGTGAAATTTCACGAGGGGAAAATGCTTCCCATCCCCGTCTCGTGATGAGAAATATTCTTTTCCGCCTCGTCCTTGTGACGAAGATCCCTGCGGAACCCCACGGGATCGAGGGAAATTGCCATCCCTACCCTTAAGATTCAAACTCAAACTCTAGAGTTGAGCTCATTTGCAATCCTATAGTTTTAAGAGATCAAATAAGTACCTCATAAAGCTCATCAGAAATTAGTCCGTGTCCATGAGCAAATGGGACCACGAAGCTGTTTTCAAGAGTTCCATTAGTTAAGGGGTTCCCTAGTATGTATCCCTGAAATCAATCCAAAATAAAAAATACACCCAATTTAGATTGCTCTTCGCAAAATTGAAATAAATGAACATCTAGATATTAAAAGGGGGGGAAAAAAAAGACCTGGAGATTTATAAGCGGTTTGATGTTTGCTTCATTTCCTGCACAATTACAATCAGTTACAATCTCCAATTCCTGATAAAGAACAGTTATCTGTTTTGACTTGGGATTTTATTTATTTATTTGTTACCTAAAGAGATCTCTTGGACCAGCACCGGAACCGGAATGCCAGAATATGAGTCCCCACCAATGTAGAGTGGACTTGAGACGAATTCAGGATGATCTATAAGCCACTGCATAACATAATATATATTGGTAGAAGTAGAATTAAACATTTTTCAATCAAAACTGTAAAAATTAAAGATTGAAAGCCTCCTTAAATACCTTCCTCAGAAAATGGTGGAGCTGGTCAACTTGCTCCAAGTCACCGGTCTGAGAGGCAAGAGGATTTCTAGCATAGGAGAAGCCGGTACCGACTGGTGAATCTACAAATATGATGCTGGCCACCTGAAAATGAACCAACATAAATGACAAAGAGCAAGGAAGAACTTATATTAATCAATCAACATTGAGTGAATTACACCTTTGTCCATGAGTATGGATTCAAGATCAATTTTGGCAGGCTTCCGTTATACTCCTCAACCTTGAAATTCAATGGACCTGCATGCAATGTTTTGGACGAATGCATTACATATTTACAATTTTACTTTGGTTTCCATTGACTTTCTCTTTCTCTCTTACCAATTTCATATGCAAGGGCTGAGAAGGTACTGCAGCCAGGGCCACCTGTTAACCAAAGTAACAGTGGGTCTTCCTCAGGATTTTTCTCTGACTTTACAAAGTAGTAAAAGAGCTGCACTTCCTCAGATTCCCCCACACCGACATACCTGAAAACACATTCATTCTTCAACATTGATATATTGGTACAAAGATTATATCATGGCATGCTTGCTGCAGAGACAAGAGACCCTACCCGGTTTCGAGCTGAAACGGGAGAGCACCTTCATATCCAGGAAGAAACTTGACTGCTGAGCCGGAGCCAGAAAAACCTGGCCAAATTTGTAGAAGAAATAAGAAGAGAGAGGCCGCGGGTAAGGGTAATGCCACCATTGTACATTTAGATCCTTCTTTCCAATATTTCTCGGCTCTTACTTTTGTACATCAAGGATTTGTCTAGGATAAGAATTTGCAAGAATTGAGTGGCTCATGATTCTGTGAAGGCATCCAAAAGGGTAGGGGAAATGAAGACAAAAGGGATAACACCAAAAAAACAAGTTCGACATCCGCGAATCCCAAAATTAATTTACAAAACGACACTGACACTAGTTTGCTAATAGCTTCAGCCCTTGGGAACCCTTTTTTTTTTTTTTTGGCTAACATAGATATTGAGCTAAAGGAAGATTCAATTGACATAATTCTGCGTGTTAAAATTGACTTTATATATGGCCCATTGTTTCTAATTCCCCTTTTTCTTTCTTTGGTTTACAAGGACTATCATACAGAAACATGTTGATAAATACATTGATAAGCAGCCATTTTCAGAAGGCACGGAACTACCAGCATTGTCCATTGCTACGGTTCCTTCTTCCCTCTTCTCATTGTCTGCTTTCTCGAGCTTCAGTTTCCACAATGTTCAATGAATAATAAATCCAATATTGACGTTTAACTTAGGTTAAAATGCCAGTTTAGTCCCTTAACTTTTAAATTTGTATTAAAATTGTCCTTCAGCTTTAAAATATCAAAATTATCATTGAATTTTAATTTTAGATACCAAAATAGTTCTTCCATTAACAAAAATGCCATCTGATTTGTTATCTTATCACAAAATTAGTTCCTTTTTAAAGTATTAATGATATTTAAAATCAAATAGTCATATTTTACTATTATAATATATTTCTATTTACACATTAAATTGATAAATAATTAAAGTTAAAAAATCAAATTGGTATATATAATTAAAGTTTAAGGATAAAATTGATACTTATCTTCAAAATTTAGGGACTAAGTTAATATTATTTTCAAAGTTTGAGATTATTTTAGTATTAAAATTAAAATTTAGAGAAAATTTTAATTTTTTTCAAAATTAAAAGATAATTTTAATATAAATTTAAAATTGAGGTACCAATTTAATATTCTAACCTTTTAACTTATTACTAGTATTCTTCGCTAGAGAGGTGTCATTTTGTCAATTGGATTCCCACCCAGGTCATAGTTCAATCATTAATTTCTCCCCCTCCCCTAAAGGTGCAATCTTTTCAAATTAATAAGACGCCCTGCTTTATAAAAATTAGCCAATTCAATGAACTCTTACCTAAAACATAATAAAATGTTAAAAATAGCATAGTATTGGAAAAGGAATTTAAGAGTTACTAACAAATTCGGTGAGAATGCAGAACAATATGTTACTCATTTTTTTTATATAATTAAAAAAAAATTTAATTTCAACCATATAATAAATAAGATTTAAATGAATTAATATATTTTTTTTTAACAAGTTATCAGGATACGAGTTCAAAACTCGTTTATGAGAGGAGGAATACACCTCAAACTGATAAAATATCAATTGGTCGAAAGGTCAGGCGCCTAAATGAATGAACGAACTAATATTATTTTTCATTTATTTTGTAATTTTGATTAGAGGATTTAACATTTTTAATGGTAATGGTAAAACTTTGTGTTTTTCTACCTCCTCAAATCAAGAAATGAAAAATTGAATCCAACACTCTAAAACGATAAGAAAAGAGACAAAAAAAAAAAAAAGAAAAGAAATTGCATTTTTCCTAATGAGCTACAAATTCAAGTGGACAAATGAAAATCATAACTAATTAATGATGATCTTCTAAATATTTGCCAATGCAGGTGCGTGGAACAAAATTCCTACTCAGTTAATAAGGAATTAACGGGATAATATTCATTAATTTATCAGGATTTGGATTAACCATCTGATCCAGACAAACATAAGAAAACAAACAACAGTAAATACTTGGCAAAATCAAAATTAATCTTTAAAGACATTTCCAAAACATGATGATGATGATGATGAAGAGAGGTTCTTTGGTTATACCTCTCTCAGACAGGAAGTTACCCGTAGGAATTAAAGAAAAACTAAGACATCAGAGTTCATAAGAGAACAGTTTTCTTTCCGACAGCGCAGCTTTTGCTCCTCGGATAAACCAAATCTGACTTCACCTTGGGCTCAAAAGAATCCTCTTCGCCGAACTCACAGGGCTCGTCTTCATCAATTCTCCCCATCCCGACACTGCAACTCTTCGGCAGCCCTCTTGATTCCGCCATAGCCATGAACTGCTGCTTCATGAGCATGTCTATTTCGTTTCTGTGGCCCATACTCCTAACCGAAGCAGCTCGGATTAGATCTCTGTAGTCTTCGTTGTCATCAGACCTCGAAGAACTCGCACTGAAGCTTCTGGGGAAAACAGAGGATTGCCCTCTTACTAATACGACACTGTCGCTATGGCTGACTCGATGAGAACAGTCCGTCAAGCTTCTAACGTAGAGATCCCGAGCTTTTCCCAAAACCCTGAAGGGAATTGTGATGAATCGCATGAACTTGCTCTGATTCTGCTCCTTGCTTCTCATGTTGCGCCTCTGCTGTTGATAATCAGATCAAGAAAAATGCAATTGGTTAAGTTTCTGTATGAATTCAAAGATTGATTGGAAGGTGTTCGACGTTTTACCTGAATGAGGTTGAGAGGTAGGAATGAGGATTTGGACTTGTATGCAAGGTGGTTGTGTGAAAGGTAATAGGAAGAACGAAGGCAACGAGGTGTTGGATTTATTAGACTTTTCAAAGCACACAGGATTTTTGGGAAACAATGGGATAAGAACAAACAAGGCATGTGGGGTTATACTGAAAAATAAAATTGAGGCAATAATTGATTATTAGGATAAGAATTGACAAATAAAAAAATCTAAAACAATGGACCTTTTTTTTTTTGCACTGTTCTATCCAGCTTATCCAACTCTTGTCTCTCGGCCTAACTTTCCACCAGAAAACAGGAACCATTTAGGATAAGGACCAGTATGAATATCTTAGCATTAAAATTTTAATTCAAGATCCAAATAAGCAATGAAGGTTTTCCCCATTATCTCATAAAAAAATATCAATTCCCCAACATCTGGTGCAACACTGCACTTCAATCTAAAAGACTAACAAGATCGAATTAGATTAGTAGGTGATGGTTTCTTTTTTCTTTTTCCTTTTTTTTTTTATCTAATGATGAGTATACAAGAAAAAATGGTGCTCTTCATACGTGAAGGGAGGGGGTGTGATAAGGGCGGCCACTTGACAAAAACGTTTAAAAAAAGAGATTGAATTTATATTTTTTTTTAATTTAAAAACGTTTAAATTTGTTAATTTTTAAATAAAAATATTTATTTTGATTTTTTATTTAAAAATGTTTATTTTTTATTTTTTATCTAAGAATTAATTGAATAATAATGTTAACAAAACAAATAGACTTTTGAATTAAAATGTTAAAAGTTAATATTTTTAAATAAAAAAATTAAAAATTACTATACTTATTTACAAATTAATAAAATTAATATTTTTAAATAAAAAAATATAAAATTAACATCCTTATTTTTACATTTTCTTGTAACTACTTCTCTTAACTTTTGAAAATTTTGAAAATTAGTATGCATATTTTTTTTTTTTATCATTCAAAATTTTTTAAGTTATCATCATTCAACTTTTTATGATCTTTCATACTTAACAACTCAAAACTAATACAATTTATAATATTTTTATTATAACCACTATTCAAATATGAAGAGAATATTAAGATTTATGAAAAGAATAAGATTTTGAAACTGTTTAAATTAGTTGATCTATGGTTTAAGTATTATTATAGTGAGGAGTTATTTCTTATTTTGATAAAATAATTCATTTTTAATAAAAAAAATATTAAAGGCATGAGAAGAAGAAAATATATTAATTTCTTAATTTAATTTGTTAAGATTTTAAGAAAATATCAATGAAAAAATAATAAAAATTAAATTTTTAAAAAAAAATTAATTAGTGTCATAAAAAATATTTTAAATTTAAATCGTCAAAAATATGTTTCAGCCCCTCAAATAATTTTTTTGTCTTCACTATTAACTTTTTTTTTCAAATCTCTTCCTACCCAATTTAAAATTTAAATATAAAATTTTCAATTTAAAATTTTAAGATTATTATCAATTAAATCACTCCATTGGGATGAGAAGGGATGGTAAGTTGGTAATCACATGTCCGGAATGTTCCAAAATTTGATTATTGGGCCAACTGCTTCAATGTGTTTCCATCCTTTTTTCAAAGGGCTTTAGCATGACACATACATATCAACTGCAATGTTGACGACGCATAATGAATGGTAAATTGGGCCCGTTGTATATTATATAATATAACGTGAGCATTGACTATGAATATACTTCTTACTTGTAAATATTTTATTTAAATTACAAAAAAATTAAGTAAATAATTGATATGAAAATAGTATATTTATAAATAGCAAGTTAAGTAATAAATATGAGAGTTTAAAATTGTTTATCTGATTTGTTTAATTATTTTATTTTTATTAACTATTTAATCATTTTATTTAATTGACACGCTACTTACACTTATATAGTTGAAATTTTATATATATTTATTATACTTAATATTTATATAATAACAATAATTTTTAAAAAATAAAAATAATAAAATATAAAAAAAAATTACACACGTAACTTATAAATAATAAATCCTAAACTAAATACATATCATACATGCAACCAATAACTTTTTACCTTTCTTGTACTTTTACGCCATGATGAGTATTTATAACTTTAATTTTTTATTTTTTTAACGTTCTTTTTACTTTTTTATTAGTGATCTTTGAGTTATAGTTTTAGTTTATTATATAAATAATTTTTTAGGTTAAAACTCTAAATTTAATATTATAAGAATAGTAAATCAAAAATATGGACGTTAAAGTGTTAAAATAAATACAATATCATAAGCCACTATCTCTTTTTAACAAATTGAAGTAAAGGATTAAAGGGATTATGAGCCAAACCTAGATATTTTCTTTGAAGGACTTTTATTTTGTTATTTAATTTACTTTTATTCTTTATCTTTTGGTACATATTTTTTGTTTCTTTATTGTTAATTATTTAATTGAGTTTAGTTTTTTAATAGTACATAGATTTGAGTTTTAGATATGAAATTAAATTTTAGTTCATTATTATTATTTTAGATTATAATAAATAATATTTTATTAAAATTTTAGTAGTTTTATTTACATTTAGATTGAAAGTAAGTAATACTTTATAAAATCTTAGTACAAAAAAATTTAAAATAAAATATCATTCAATATATATATAATCATAAGTTATCTAATACTTATTGAGTTAAGTGCCAAATATAAAATTTTAAATATTTAAATAAATATCAGGTCTAAAAAGCTATATAAAAAAATTTTAAATCAAATATCAAATATATTTCGTACAAACAATACTCACTCCTAATATTGTATCAATTATAAAATGATCCAAAAAAATAGAAGTATTTTTGGGTCCATTATTTTCACACTTTGGGCGGGTTGGGTATTGTCTTGATTAAGATTCTAATCGGATAGTATGGCCAGAAAGGCCCATAACCCATGAATATTATATACAGAAATGAGAAACCCATACCCAGCAAAGTTACATGAACATGCTTTCTTTTGACTTAGGACTAGTTTGATATAATAATTTAAGGTAATAGTTAGTGACTTTATTGAAATTATTAAAGATAAGTATTTTGTAAGCTTATATATTTTAAAATTATTATGAATAAGGTGTTTAGTAAAAAGTTTTATTTAGTAGCTTGGGACTAATGAATAGTGATTAGGGTTTAAATTGTTAACAAATTAAAAAAGTTA